TAAATCCCCTAATTTGCCTGAAAATCCAGGCGCGGGCTGCAAAGGAGCTATTTCTTCTTTCTGCCCCCACGCAGGACCTACCCCCGCCCGTACGAGTACCTGGACATCGCCGCGCTGCCCGAGAGCTGGGACTGGAGGAACGTGAACGGTGTCAATTACGCCAGCACCACTCGGAACCAGCACATCCCCCAGTACTGCGGGTCCTGCTGGGCCCACGGCAGCACCAGCGCTCTAGCGGGTACGATGTGCTCAGGGCTGTGTGCCGCCTCCTCCCCTGCCGAGCTGCTGCCCCCCGTGACTTGTAGTTTTCAGTAAGCAAAGGAAGTTCATCTTCAGCTTACAAAATACCTGGTACGAAGAAGTGCCAGATTACTGTAGTGACTAAAGCAGCAAAAACCGAGGCTGAGACATCTGTGAACACACCAGGAGCTGTGGGAATTCCCAAGCTGAAGGCAAAGAGGTTTGGTTTCAATAGAGAAAGCAATCAAGAGTGAGGCTGTCCCCACCCTCTCAAAATTGTGCGGGGGGGGGACACGACACTGGTATGGTTAAAAAGCTGTCTGCAAGAAGGAATGCATTCATAGCTCCTGCCAAACTGTTTAGGGCCTGGAGTAAGAACTGGGTTTTCTGCCCCTCTTGTTGGAGGTGTGGTGATGGTAGCAGCAGCTGCAAAAGCAGTTGTATCTGCTTCCCTTTTTGGTACCTCAGCCTGCGGCACTACATCTGCAGCTGCAAGGGGCTGTGCCAGCGATCCCTGGATACGAGGAAACGAAAGAAGTTGCCTCCTGTGGGAAGGGCCCATAGGGTGTTAACTTCAAGAGCCCTGTCGTGCAAATGAACTGACTACCACAGCATACAGACAAATCTAGTTTCAGCAGATATCTATTAGCCTTCTTCTCGGGAAAAGGGAAGTAAGAGTTTTGCTTCAGTTGGAGAAATATTTTCTGTAGAGATAATAAATGATTTGCCCGCACCAGTAACATGCTGCAGCAGTACTGTTTGCAGAGGGAGGCTGTAAGAGGATTAACTGTGAAGGAGAAATAGAGGAAATTGTGCAGAAGTGGGAAGACAATGCAGATGTGAGCAGACAGCAGGAATTGTGAAGGATCTGTTCTTGAGCAGTACAAGAATACAGACAGATACAAAACCTGCTATGATGTAGTGAAGTACTAGGATAGATAAAATAGCAGCTTCTTAATTGTGTATGTAGGTATGCCAGCATATGCATCTTTATAAGTATAAAAGGTTGATTTTTAAAAACCAGGATACTTTTTCTCAACTGGTGTGAATAGTTAAGGCATTCATTCCTTCTGCTGTTGCTGGAAGACTAGGCTGGGATAATGCCTCCCAGTTCTGTCATGTATAGTTGAATGTTGTTAGTACTAATAGGATTAAAAGTACTACAGTGGCATCACTAAGACTGTTAATGCACTGTGAGAAGCAGTTTATAAATAACCATCGGGAAGCTTTTCTGCCAAGTAAGCTAGCTGTTTCTGACAAAATAAGGCAGCAGGGTAGTGATGCCTGTCTGAGATGGAGGGATAACAGTTAGATGTTGACATAACAGCAAGGATATACTTGTGAAAGCTTTTCCTTGCTTTAAGTTCCTGAAGACTGTCTCAGAGCCAGAGACCTGAGCTGCATGGCCTTATGACTGACTGTCTGCATGGGTTTATGCTGGTGAGAGCTGGTTTTATGACGTGTACTTGAAAACTCTTAGCTGTGAAAGCCAGGAAACAGATCTGAAGTTTTCAGAAGCTGTGGCTTGAATTAGAAGAGGTCTAGGGCACTTCAAGGCTTTAAACAGATCTTACTCATCTGCATGTTTTTGCTGAGTTTTTAATGGAAGAAACTTCTAATGGAAACCCACAATAACTGAGCCTGCCCGTTTGAATTAGGTCATGTTATGTGTCTTGCTGTTGGCAGTAGAGGCTTTTCCAACCACAAGTACTGTTGCCTGCAAACAGTTACAGGTTCAATGAAAGAGAGATGGTTTTAACACTAGTTGCAGTGTGTAGTCGCCCACATATTCCACTAATGAAACCCAATTTCTTATCCTTACAGATCGAATCAACATAAAGAGAAAAGGCGCATGGCCTTCTGCCTATCTCTCTGTTCAGAACGTGATTGATTGTGCTGACGCAGGATCCTGCGAAGGTGGAGACCATTCAGGTGTTTGGATGTATGCCCATGACCATGGCATTCCAGATGAGACCTGCAACAACTACCAAGCTAAGGATCAAAGTACGATGCCTATTTGCTTTGCTGTAAGGCTTCATCCCAGGTTTAGCAGATCTTAAAGTAAAAAAAAAAAAAAAAATTAAAAAAAAATAATTCTTGAGTTTTCAGAGTACTGGCTCCTGCCTTTCAGCGTAGTACCTCCAGTTTGACTGACAGAACAGGTTTTCTTTATGTGCCTGCGTGTGTCTCTTTTTACTCTAGCTAGACAGCATAGCATTAAATCATGCCCAGACAAGTTTGCACAGCTAAATTGTTTTAACTTAATTTCCTAAGTCCATGATACATAATCTCTAATGTACTGAACTATTTACAAGTGTCACCTCAAGCTAAACAAAGGAGAAATGTAATCTTTGTCTGGTCATGTATCACTGGAATAGTTGTTGTCTGTGAAGGAAGCACATTTGAATCACTTCCTCATCGAAGCACTTATGCCTATGAAGTAAAGAATAGTAACTAGTGATTGTAGAGACTTCAAATCTGATTTCCAGAAAGGAATTTAATTTAACAGAGAGAGTATGTATTAATAACTACTCTTTAAGTTATTAATACCTGCCTCAACGTTAAAGGAAAAAAAAAGCTTAGTGTCATATAATTAATTTGCTTGAAGAAAAGCATTCTCTTGCAGTGGTAATCTCACTTCTGTTTTGTAGAGTGCAAGAAGTTTAACCAGTGTGGAACTTGTGTCACTTTTGGAGAATGCCATGTGATAAAGAACTACACTCTCTGGAAAGTTGCTGACTATGGGTCTGTCAGTGGAAGAGAAAAAATGATGGCAGAAATCTATACTAATGGACCAATTAGGTAAAAAAAAAAAGTTTTTCAATCCCAATATTACTAGTAGATATACTTGAAATTCAGTCTAATGACTGAAGCATACTTCTCCGCTCGAGCTTATGTTAGCAGCTCTGCACTAATATGCAGAATTTAGCTTGTTTTTATATATATTGAGCTCTGAAGTCAAAATGCAAGAAAAACCAATTGTTTTTTAGCCAGGCCCCTGCCTTGATCCTCTTGTATAAAAAAAAAAGCCTTCTCTGTTTATTACAGCTGTGGCATAATGGCTACTGAAAAGTTGGATGCTTACACTGGAGGACTTTACACAGAGTACAACCCCTCGCCTGAGGTGAATCACATTGTATCTGTGGCTGGCTGGGGTGTGGAAAATGGAACAGAATACTGGATTGTCCGTAACTCATGGGGTGAACCCTGGGTAAGGAAACATGGGAACAAATGCGTTTGCGGAATGACTTTAGAAGAAAGGTGGGGTTTTTCACTTACAAACAGGAAGTTGCAAAGCGAGCCAGCAGACAGGAAAAGTAGCTTTCTTTGAACTGGACTAGCAATTAAAAATGGAATTGAAGTAATCTGAAGACAAGGATATTCAGCCAAAGTCACCTGAGTAATGTCAACTCAATCCCAAACGCTGCCCTTCCATGGACATGCAGCTCCTGTTATGGGCAACTGTAAGTTACTGTTAGTTGTAGGCAAAAATCAAGTCACATAGCTGGAACAGATGAGGAGGATGTAAATCCACCAAAGTAGATTGCCCCTTTATGCAAGGTTGCCCTGTGAACCCAGTGTTATACTTCATCTTGAGTAAATTCCTAGATTCACTTAAATCATTCATGTTTGGAAGAGAGAACAGACTCAACAGCGTATGTTTTGTGTAGTTATGTTTTCTAATTCACAACACAAATTAATTCTTTACAGGGTGAAAGAGGGTGGCTGAGAATTGTGACAAGTGCATATAAAGGTGGAAGAGGAGCAGACTACAATCTTGCTATTGAAAAGGACTGTGCCTATGGAGATGTTGTACTTCCTTGATGGTATATTGTACGTCTTTCTGTTGAGGAACTACTTTGTTTGGAAGCTTCCCAGCACAACCTTTTTCTGTTTAAAGAATACAGTCAAACACTTTCACAGCTAAACATCACCAGGCAGTACTAAAATTAGCCCACGTAGCAACACACAATGTCTTCAAAGTAAGATAACTAGAGCTGCCTTTAGATAGTTTACAACTTAAAAAAAGTAAATTTACCCATGAAAAAGTTGTCTACCTTGATGCACAGTATTGAAATAATATTTACTTAATTACAAAAACTGTATATGTAAATCTTTTTAATACAAATTATGTAGACATACTGGGAAGGAAAAAGTATACTCAATATTTGGGTCTAGAGCTTGTATTAAATTCTCTGACAGTACTGAGCAAATATTTCACAATGGTGCAGATGAAAAAAACCAAGCTAACTATGGACATAATATATTCAAAACCTAAATCCCCTGTTGTTTCCTTGGCCTCCTGGTGAAACAGTGTTGTTGGAAGTCTCATATAACGCAGTTGCTTTTATCCAGTGAAAATGATACAACAGGAATTACTTTGATCAAAAGACAAAGTCTAAACACATCTTAATTATTTAATTAGCCTTGTCTTAGCCAATCACATATTAAAGCAAGGAATTTGAGCAATGCCATTTTTCCCCTAAAGAGGCAAAGTATAAACTGCTACAACCCAGAACGCTTCACTGATTTGAAGAAAGGTAGCAAATTCTCTTCCTCAGTAACTGGCTCAGTTTTAAGTGGCAAATCAGTGCCATACCAAATGTGACTAACTGGCATTGTTAATTGCATTTAATAAACAGACTTTTTCTCTTACATGACTATGTGTATTAAAAAAGCCTATTAATACATGTTTTCAGTTGTCTTCTGTTGTACCTAACAAGCAGTGTCATGTGGCAGACTAGCTACCCAAAGCTCATCCAGGAAGGTACTGCTTTTACTGGACTTTTTCTGGTGAAAGGGTTGGTTGAGAACACAGTCCACACAGCACCTGTGATGGTTCAAACAACAAGTTAAACGACACTACCTCTACCCACACTGGAGATTAAGATACAAGCAACAGGGAAGCATCCAACTTTAACAAATCAAGGGGAGGAGAGACAGTCAGATGTTGCAGAACACCACTTTAAGTGTTAATCTCCAAAATCTACCATAAATCAAACTAACCTGTGAATTTTGCTTCACTCAAACATGTAAGTTAAAGCTTTTTAGTGGTGCAAAGGAAGGAAAAAACATCTGTCCAGAAACTATTATCTGCTACCCCCCAGGTGGTAGTTTTGCAGCTTACCTTGGTTTTATCTGTGGAAGAAGTCTGCTTCTAATCAGAAAATAAGTTTGGCAGAATGCTGAAGACCCATAAAAAAGCAAAACTGCTAGTGTGGTTGTGCTACTGTGAGCATAGCTTTTAGCACTGTGACAATGAGAACACGTTTTAGACCTGAGGTTAGGCCGTATTCCAGTAAGCTAGGAGACTTGGAAGACTGATTCTTCTGATTGATGTGGGCCTGATTTTGGCTTCCTACATAGAAGAATCATACTCTAATTGTTCAGTGTTTATCTCCCTTATCCACCATTCACCTCTTAAGCATGAAAGACAATAATACACATTTAAGTCTAGGCAAAAGACAGAATTCTACCCATCTCTTTGGCTTTGCTTTATCACAGCAAAATGACTCCGTAGTGCCAAAAAGGATTAGTTCTGCCAAGCTGCAGTGCCTGCTGTAACTTAAGTTACACTGAGGTACAAACATGGTAGTGTGACAGTACTGATCACAGTATTGTTGAAGTTTTAACTAGTTACAAAACATCTGCATTGTTAAGTGCAGAGGAAGTCAAGTGTTTAGAGGAAGTGACACCAAGCTTGAAGAGAGGCAAGCCAAAGCATACCTTGTTTAAACAGCTGGTATATTTGCAACCGACACAGGAACAAACTGCTCTTGATTATCACTAGAAGATGATACAGGGCTACATCCTAAAATGAAGCTCTATAGGGTGAATTGCTTCTGTAGTTAATTCCACAAAGAAAGTAAGACAGCGGCTACAAAATGCCAAACTTGTTTGCCAATTCTACTTAAAATATTACAAAAAGTAGGTCTCATGCAGGTTTAAATGGTGAGAGTTAGCTGGAATGACAGTACATATTCTATTCAAAGATAGGCAAAGCAGTTCAGAACAGCTTCTGCAGAAGCAAGTTTTGCCCTTTTCAGGCTGTGCTTGAAGTTGATCAGAGCACTGTAAGTGTTGTTATGGTAAGCTCAGCCACTGTGGAGTATGGAGTTGAGGGACCAGCTGAGGGAGGGAAAGATGCACTCCTTTTAAAAAGGAGTGAACAATCTATACAATTGGCTGCTGTCTCAAGAATTATCATGGTAGTTTACAGTTCCTGTTCATGAATCACTGAAAACAAAGAACAAAGTGATTTTCTTTTTAAATTTACATCCAGTTGGACATGAAATGTCACTGATTTTTGGAAAGTAGGTTCTTCAGAAAACATGTGCTTGGAAAAGTGCAATGGGCTTGTCTATAACCCTCACTTGTAAACAGTACAAAGAGAAATCCAGCCCAAGGAACAGAAAAAAAAGAGTGCTTTTAATGAAACTTCGAAAGAAATCTCTGGAAAATAAAAAAAACTTTATTTAAAGGTCAATTATAATCTTGGGTGTATCCCCCATTGTTTGGCATCAACTAGAACAGAGTAGAGATAAGTATAAAAACCAAGCCACAGCAAGCAGTAATGGAATTTCTGCATACACTCATACTTTTGGACAGCAGAAGAATTCTGACATGGTAATGAAACTTACCAGTAACATCTGATGCATCTATTCAACAAAAAATAGATTCTGAATGATTAACACACTCACATAGGATTCATCTGTTAATACAAAACTAATCTTGGTTTTTACAACTCCACTTCTGTTACACAAAACGTGTTTTTTCACAGCAGTAAAGATGTAGGATGTTTGGAATTCTAATATAATGTAAAAGTGAGAAAGACGCATTATGGCTTCTCTGCAGCACAGAGCTAATCACACAAACTCCTTTTTACAACTTGCAACATCAGAAACTAGAGCATTCAAGATTTAGTCTTCAGAGAACTATCTGCAAAGTGTTTTTGGTAGGAACCACCTTCCCCATTCTTCAGGTTTTGCATACTGCACAAACAATCAGTGACAAATTCTGCAAATAACCAAAGTAACAAATCCGATTCTCTCCTGCTATCGCCTTCAAATACATTTATACTGATTTGTGTAGCAACAGAAAATCCTTCAGTATGAATTCATTTTCCAAAGTACATTAAAAGTCCTCTGATAAGAAGCTCAAGGTCACCATGCAAGTCAATCAAATGCCCTTCGGCCCCCTCTTCCTTGTTTTGGGTTTGTTGGTTTGTTTTTTCTCAGGACTTTTAGCTGCTGTGTTGCCCAGTTATAGAACCTTACTGATGGAGAGCATGGCAAAGCAGTGATCATGCTCTCTGCATTCTTGGTGTTTTCCGCTGCTTAGTTCATCATAATAAAGTTAGATTTGCAATGAGCTTAAAAGAAAAAAAGAAAGTGTTCAGCACATTACACAGAAGTTATCTGTGAAAATATCTGACAGGCCTTCCTATTTTTAGCAGTCCTCCTCCTAAACATTATTTGCAAATTGTAACAAACACAAAAGGAAGCAGGTATGCAGTGAATAAACGTGACTTACCTATAAACTCAGTGACAGGATCGTGTTCGCCTTCTGTTTTAATAGTACCTGCAATACTTTCATTCTCCAAGATTGGAAGAAAAAGCTGTACAAAGTCTGAGGTGTATGGAGGAGCAATCACATCCAGCACCTGAAACAGCAGACAGAAATGGATTATTCTTCCAGTTAGAGGGGTAGCAGGGACAATATTTAAATGACAATATTACTTGAAGGCATACAAGTAGTTGCACTTAAGAAATCTTGCTTTCCATACAAGTAATTAGTTATATATTCTTGTGGTACTCTACCCAGTACCTTCATACTTCCAGAAGTCAGGAGTCAATAGGACTAAGTCACATCCTAGTGAATACTGATATTACATACATTGCTCAAAATCTATTCTCCATCTTAAAATATTTTTTAATCTGAGGCAAGCTGATTTTATATCCAAAACACATAAAACTGATATTGAAGTTTATTTCTATATGTTTGTAAACAGTTTTTGCTGCTGACCTCTGTAACGAAGTATCTGATGAGAGAGATATCTGTATCTAGCTTCTCCAGGCATTTCCGGATGTAGCTGACGACAGGCAGGACATATCCTCGACTGAGTAAGTGCACCATTCTATCCAAGAGAGTCTTCTTCAATTCCAGCTGATGGCGGGGGTGTGGAAGGAGAGAAGAAATCAACAGATTAGAACTTCCTCTTGGAAGTGCGCAGTTTGTATTGCTCATTCTTACTGACTCAGTATCTGCTATGTTCCTTTTTAACCATGACCATATTCCTAAGTTAAACTCTTAAGTGACAGCAAAAGCTGTTATCTTGAATAAGCACAACTAACATGAAGAACACAAATACCGAATCCTTTGAGAATTACCTGCTCCATCACATCAAGCTGTGAATGTTCTGTTTCAAAGAGCTTGACAAGAAGTTGTAGAACTTGGGGATGAAGCAGTTGATGGCATGTACTGATCTACAAACAAGGTAAGACAGTCAGATCCTCAGAATTCCAATTTAAAACCCCATGCCTAGTCTTTATTAGACAAGTTTACATTGATGTCCAGTGCCAGATGTAAATTTTTTTAGAAAAGTATTCCACCGTTTCCTTCTCTGATGCCTAAGTTTTCCTAGCATAAATAATGTTGAGATGACAAAAACAAATAATTAACTCTGAACAGAAATAGATTAATCTTTGCATATTTCCTGATTTACTGCAAATGACAGGCATCCAGTGAACTGGATGCACTTCCAGCTACAAGAGTCTAAAGTGTTTTTACTCTGCAGCAAGATTTTATATACACTTTTACCTCATCCAGTAATGCCAGATGGACCGGAGTGTGATCAGTCTGCAGCTGGAAGTATCGTGGTTCTGACACTGTCCAGTCCACCCACTTTAATACACCCATTGCCACCACTGGGAACCTAGAGAAGAAGAAATCACTTTAGCACAGGAGCATCAAAAAAAAAAATCCCCAAACCACAAGACCTCAAACAACTCCAAAACAAAAAAAAACACCCTCCCAGTAAATCTGGAAAAAAAAAAAAAAATCACCTTTCAGTATATTCTAATGGTTGCTAGTTTCAGTTTAACTTACAGCAGAATCAACAAAGCTTAAAAAGTTTTGTTTGAAAAGTTGCCAGCACATCAAGACAAAAAAAAAGGTAAGATGGAGACAATTCTTTCAACAAAGACGCTCCCTGATCAGGACAAAATGCGAAAACTACACAACAAAGTTTATGTACACTCCAAGTCTGTTCCAGTTTATTAAATATCTGCTATTTCATACTTTTAAGAGAAGAAAGGACACATCTATTGCTAGGAAAGCAAAGTAACCTGTCATCTTTTTCCAATGGCAGAGAAAAAGATGTTCTGTGACACAAGGACAAGTTGTCTGCGGAAGCCAGAATTTATGTCCTCATGAGAGAGATTCCAGAGAGCCAGATGTACAATTTTGAAAGGCGCTTTCAGACCACAACTTCATGTATTCTACAGGGAGGATGTTCTCACAGAGTAGCCCACAAAGGCATTTCCCTTTAGCAGTACTGCCTTTCCTAAACAATACTTTCCTTCTAACAACTAAAGCATGGGACCAGTCTCTCTGCTCACCTGATGCACTGATAGAGAGTGCTCAGCTCTGCAACCAACTCTGATGCTCCTTTGTTCTCATTGCAACACAGATTGTGAACAGTTTCAATGGCTTTTGAAGTTGACTTGAGTTCATCCTTGTTTATGCTGACTCTCTTGTTCTGAAAAATTGCAAAGTTTGAAAGCAAGAGTCGTGAATACACCATGTGTCTTTGGTTATTTAAGGAAAGGAATTGTAACCTGCGATAAGCCCAAGATTACGTCATGTTTCCCAAAATTTAGACTCAAACGCAGAGAAATTAGAAGAACTAATTATCAGTGAGCTGAAGTACAAGGATGTCTGCTTTATTTAATTCCCTAAGAACTACTTTACGCACTTCATAGAACTAAATTCCTCTTCCTCTGAAAGGCACATACGGTTCTAGTAGCCCAGAACTGCTACTGATAACCTTTATGGGGAGCCAGGGGAAGAGAGCAAAAATACTCACTGCACTCAGACTTTTATACCACTACTTGATTATCAAGATCTACATTTTTTTAGTAATTTCATTTGAAGCCAGAAACAATTCAATATTAAAATAAGTAAATCAAGCTAAATATATTATTTTACACTAAGCAACTTCATGACCGTGCATTTTCTTTGCCACAGTCAGGCTACTGGAGGTAAAAATAATGCTATTCACAGAACTGAACACTACCTTTTTCCACATCTCTACTACGCTAGCTGCATATGCCAGTATGTGAATATATTTATGTTTGTGGTCCTGGTTGATCTTAGCACCTGGTTTAAACAATGACTGCATGAAGAGGTCCAGAAAGGCAGGTACTCGAATCTGCAAAGAAAAGGAATAGTTTATTAGAGTCTAAGAATAATGAGAGGTGACTAAAAAAAAAACAGGTTTTGCATCTGATATACCTTGCACAGAATGAGATATAACACCTTACCCCTTGGGATGAGGTTATAATTTTCTAAAGAGACCCAAACTCTTGACAGAAAGGAAAAAAAAAAGGAAAAAAAAGAAAAAAAAAGGAGAGAAAATTCTAATAGAGTTACAGACTATATTGCTAAAGTATCTAAATGCCACCATTTGTTACCAGAAGCCACTGTAGAACGAGGCAGTAAGAAATGTGGAACGTGCCAGTTAGGCCTGGTTATAATAAATGGCAAAACTAGGTTGGTTTTTTGGTGTTTTTTTTTTTTGTTGTTAAAATAAGTTAATTAATTCATTGCCACATTTATCTCCTATTGAGGACTTATTTAATTAATTACATGTAAAAAGACAACTTGGAATGATCTGAAAAAAAAAAGATCAATCAAGAAGCTAATACAAAATAGAATACAATTAGTAGTTTCACATTTAGACTTTACTTAAAATTATAGAGGGATGAGTCTGAGTGCTAACTTCTATTTCGTGTCAATGCACCACTTTGCACGACAAGACCTCATATTTCTGAGTGCTGCATATTTCAGAGGTTATAAAAAGATAACTACTAACCAGTTCTACAGGAGGTGGGTCCATGCTTGTGAACATTTTGAACAGGACAGTGATGTCTGCTGGATTCAGAGCTCCTTTGGACAACATCGCACCAAGAGCCTGACATGCTCGAGGATAGGAGGCTGCAGTACCCAAGGCTAAAGTGATCTGACTGGCATCATGGCCTCTAGATGAAGAGCAGACACAAACATCAACTTATTTTCTTAACTGGGACGTTTTAGTTTTAGCTTCACTGAGTCAACAGGGCACATCCTATGGAATGTAATGCCTTAGGGCAGAACCCCTTACCCTCGGTAATTAGAGAAACAGGCTTGTATTTCCCTTGTTTGTTTCTAAAATGTAAAGAAAAATATTGGTTTTTAATAGAGGAAAATGAAATTCTTTGCTCCTCTGATTTCAGGTCTCCCATGTTGTTCTAGGAATTAAAGCTTGCTACAAGAACTGCTCTGTTGCAGCTAAGGGTTCTCCTTTTGCTGGTGAACAGTAATCAGGAATGAGCAAAGACAGCAGTGTACAAATTCCAGTGACTTACATTTCACTAATAATACAACTCCACTTACTTCTCATGAGCGTACCGCTGAACCTCCTGAGCAATCCGTCTGACAGCTGACCCTCCTTGCTCTTCTTGAGCTAACATGGACATCATGGATTGAGCAAAAAGGTAAGTGTGTTCTCCATGGCACACCATCTTCTGTGAAAGCACATATCAAAAAACCTTACCAATCAACAAGAAACATGGAAGTATGCTTCTGTGATCACACTGCCATAATAGCAAAGGTTTCACTGAAATCTACTAATCAAAAGAAAACAAAAAAAACAGAAACAAGTAAACAAGAAAACCAAAAACCCAGCAGCCAAGAAGAAAGTACAGAAAAGCAGAGCATCACTATGCATTTATACCGTGCAAGAAGAAACAGCTAAACTGAGAACTTACGTTTCTTAAATGCCAAAATTGAGACGAAATTCTATACTACTTACACTCAGTACTTTCTCTGCAATATTCCAAAAAGAGAAGTAGAAAGCCATCCGAAAGTCATTATGCTATTTCGCAACACAGAACACATGCTGGGTTGGCTTAGATGGCAACTTTCACACTGACGTGGTTGATAAAAAAATTATTTTAATTCGCCAGGAGACTGACTAGACTGATCTTTTGATCTTGCATTAAATGTGAAAGTCAACAGTTCTACCTTCGCCTTTTTACCATCCACTTAATAAACATAAGAAGAGTCACGTAAGCAACACAAAGAATTTGTGGTCACAGAATGATCAAAAAGCACAAATTTCTATTTTTAAACTCATATATACTTTCTCTTCATGAGATTTTGTACGACTTAATAAGATATCAAGATTCTCTACAATCCCACAATGATTTGTATATCCTAAGCAGAAAGGAAAACACTATTTAAAAGAAAATACCACAAAAAAAACCCAAACTCACAGCAAACTCAGGGAGGTTTTTTTCAAGGTTTTCTTCTCCTCCATCTAAAATTGTTGCCAGAGATGTACGCAGGACTCTGGAAAACACTTCTAGTTGCTGACATGCTGTTGAAACACTGGTTATTTCCCCTTGATATCCAGCATCAGATATAAGCTATAAAAACAAAAACATCACACAAAACTTGTATTATTTACATTTATATTTCAGATACCCTAACAAGTCTAGAAGAACACACAGAATGTGAGATTTGTCTCTGCATACACTTACTGGAATTCACGTTCATGTTTTAGACTATAGAAAAGGAAATCAAAAGAGATGTAGCAAAAAGAAAGTAAACCTTAATGACATAAAAACATTTCAGAGCACAGCAAGATATAACACTCTTTGCCAGTCACAGAAACATACAAAACTGACTGAAACGTTCCACCTCACCAGAAATTCATAATTTTCAAATACAGATCGAAGGGAAAAAAATGTAAACCAGCAACAATAAACAAAACAAAACAAAACCCACAACAAAAAAAAAAAATCAAAAAGCAGTACTTCAAACTGGGTACTTGCAATATATAACATGATTCCTCCCACCAATATGTACTTGTACTGTTCTGACATTTGAGTAAGCAGTATTAGCAGGAATATATAAGATATATATATATCTCTTATATAAGAGATATATAAGACAGGCAAGACCACAGCCAGTACGTTGTCAGAACAATGAGCCCTTTAAGGATATTCTCATTTATTAGACTTGAGCGTACTACCTTCACAGTAAAATTAAGCATTAAACAGTCGGGATGGGCTTCTGCCAACTTGTAAAAGAGATCTCTCCACGTAGTATGTGCTATCATTTGCTCAAGCCAGGCTGGAGTCTGAAAAAATTAGAGCAATAGAGAGAAATGTAAGAACATCTAGTTGTCGAGATCATCAAAAGTAAGCGTTTTACCTCTCGGGAGTCCTGGGAGTTGTTATACAGAATTTTATTATAAAAGAGGATGCATTCAAAGTTTCTAAGTTTTCTAAGCCTCTGAGGACTCCAGTGAGATACAGTTGGCTTTCTGAAACCAGTTGTTTCTTAACCAAAGAGCTTTGAAGATACAATTTCCCTTCCCCCACCATCTACTACTCCATCAGACGCAGGCGTCTATGCAGGATTCACTCATGTAGAGACAGCAACATGGACTCCATGCACACCTCTCCTTCCTCTGTAAAGATGGAATCTGCTTTCCGAGGGTCAAAATGCTTGATAAGTAAGCTCTTTAAATGGTTTTCTACAGTCTCCTGAACTTGCAATGGCTCAACACCTGTACAGAAGGAACAAAAAACTTGGCAGATGCAATTCGATCAAACATGGCAGCAACATCACAAATTTTTCCATGAGAACAGAAACTACTCAAATTTATCAACCCAGAGAAGACAAGAGGAGAGCCATCAGCCCTATCAAGCCACACTAATAGAGATAGATTTACAGATTCTCCATCTTTTTTTTCCTAAATGTAGACTGTTTAAGATCACAGGCAGGCCACACTAGGTGCTTTTCTCTCACTGTCTTCATCATTCATGCAAACAGCAAGGCCAGTCATATCACAAGACTGTTACTGGACACAACATCAAAATGCACAAATCTTAAACACAAAAGGGATTACCAGGGTTGGTGCACAAACCCATCTTACTACAGACTAAAGCTCATCCTTTTAATACATTGGCTACCAGTAGTTTTGAGAGTACACTACAAAAGTAGTAACAAGCAGTCCTACACTTCCGAGATCAGAGTACAACAATTCTGATAGCTTGTGAACAAACTCTATGCTAGCTAAGGGATAAAGATACAACAACATAACGCTGAACATGTCCTGCAAGAGGCTGCTGAAGCATTCATAAGCAGACTGGTAATACAGAATTCTTGTCTCAGAGAATACAGGCTCTGTATAAGAACCTTCCATCTAACCGCAGATCCACTAAATGGGAACAGTAACTAGTAACAAGGTAATCGCTTTTTCAATAGTAATGATACAATACTATTACAAAATATCAAATATTCCTAACACCATCCATGTAACAGTACCCTTACCCTTGTGCATGAAAACAAAAACCCTATAGTTTATGCAGTTGCTTCAACTGTATCACCTTTTACAATGCAGTCTGTGGGTATTTCAAAACATTCATCAACAGATTACTCCACTTTATTCTGAGCAGAATAAACATATTATTATAAAGAATTTAGTCACATACACATATAGGATGACAACTTTATAATGATCTTCCTCCTAAGTATGATAAAATTTGTCAACAATTCAGATATTTCTGACAAAAGAAAGCCTGCAGACCTGAATTGTACTGTATCACTCGTCATACCTGTCTGAATGAGCCACTCTGCCAGCAAATTCACCGTCTGTGCCACTGCAGTGTAGTTTTCAGAGAGGAGCTGGATAACATTCTCTGGAGAACCTCCTGCTTGGAAATACCTGATGAAACAATTACAAAAGAACGATCTGAAAGTCGCATTAAAAACCAAAACCAGTCGAACTCTGTAAATAAAGGGCAAACGACACCATTATTTACACACTTCCACACAACGCGGCAACGCCGCACCTGCGAACACACACAACGCGCACCTGCACATACGTAAGGTCACACTCACCGCTTTAACGTGTTAAATATAGACGGCTCCATTATATAGTCGGGGGTCGAAAATTTCTTCAGGCATTCTTGCTGGACTTCGGCATCATCTTCTCCCTCGCCATCCTCATCCTCTTG